GCCAGAGCAATCGCAGGCATGTGCGGCACCAGGTTGGATGCGAGGCGGGGCAGCAAAAATAGACCGGTGGTACCGACCCACTGGAAAGCTGTGCGGATAAATCGGGGAAAGGCCATGCCGCAGCTGTCGTCGGTGCCACGGCAGCCGTGCCGCTTGCATGTCGAACTGTGGGTGTGGGTGAGGGTGCTGCGTATGGCGGCAGCATGATGGGCACGGCAGGCGCAGTGCCGGGATGGAGGTGGTAGTCCGCCGTTTGCACACCCTGCCAGGCATTCAAAGTCGTACGCGGCAGGTGGGCAATTTGCCTGTACTTCTGGCACGGACAAGCCGTGTTGCTGCACTTCCGTATTAGACATACCCATGACGAGAGGCTGCATTTCATTGGTCGGTGTCGGAGCATAGTACGGCGAGGGGTACCACATTTCGCACAACGCGTATGCAAGCGCCAGAGCTCGGCAATTCGGACCGCAGAATAACGCTTGGAGGTTGTCCAGCGCGAAGTACTGGAGGTGTGCGACTCCGTGCAGGTGTAGTGCCAATCGTCCGCTCTGCTCGATTTTGACGACTACCTCAAATACGACCCCACAGAAACAGTTGGGGTCAGTTTGTCGCATTGCTCCAGGCGTGAAGCCAAACAGGTGTTCCACCAACACCTCTTTGGTGGCGATGAGCAGCGCCGCACAGCTGTGCGGGTCTTCTTTGACGCGGCGCCACTTTTCCACCGTGCTGCTGATATGGGTCGGACGCCCGGCGTCATCAAAATCTATGACCTGACCGGAGGCTACAACGGCACAGCTAGCGTGCATGTCCGCCGGGTTCAGATTGAAGAACAATGGCGGCCAGCCAATAGTGAGGGCAGCCGCACGCATCGTGGCTTTTGCACCGTTGTAGTAGGCATCCGTAAGGTCGATTCGTAGCAGGCTGGCGCGTGCGCCATCCAGGAGGGCACGCACCACGGGTGACTGTTGCGACAGCTGGTGCCGTCGCTGCGCATGACGGTACGGTAGTGCCAAGATGTCTGCCATGGTACGTACCACATCCCGTGGTACTAGTGCCGCTGCTCCACCCAGCCGTGGTCGCATGTGCAGGGCCACTCCTACCTGCGCCATGCTTTGCTGCCGCACGCTGATATCATACATTCGGGCAAGCAGCATCAAGTTACCGCTGAACTGCGCCCGTGGCACCCTCCGTACAAGGTGGCTGCAATACGAGGCGAACGACATACCCGGTGGCCGTTGTCCGGACAAACCATATGGAAACGAAACCGGGAAGCAGACGTTGAGGATGGCTGGATGGCGGTCCATCCACGATCTGAGCACCACGGCCGCCAGCAGCGAACGCGAGACGTGCACGCCCGGTGAGCAAGTCGTGCACCACGTTGGNCCGGTTATCAAAGTCGGTGCCGTCCGTCGGAACAGGAGCTGCTTGTGGAAGGACCACCTCCAGTTCATTCGGGATGCCCAGATTGGCATCAGCTGCGTTGGGTGGTGGGGGCGGATATTCGTAAGATGGGCAAATGGCACGTTCGGGATGCCCAGATTGGCATCAGCTGCGTTGGGTGGTGGGGGCGGATATTCGTAAGATGGGCAAATGGCACGTTACTCGAGTGACATCCGCAACGTTCGCATAAGACATGCAGCACTAACACGACGAATAGTGCACATCGGATATTCTTACCAGGATCGCCTGGTTGGCGCAGGACGACCGCGACAGGCGCCAAGCCCGTAGCACCAGCATCTATGATGGAAAATAAACACGGTTGCGCAGACGTACGAGGAGGTGAACAGAAGCACAGTTAATGGTTCGGAATCTAACACGTTCGGACGACACATACGGCAGCACTTATAGCATGTGAAAAACCGCAGCTGTATACAGCTGTATACAGGCTGTACAGGACAACGGTGTTACGGGTGCGGATAAACAGTTATGTATGTACCGTTTTGCTAGGTTGGTACCGTACCGTACCCATACGTGCCGTGTACCCATCACACACATACCTGCCATGCGAGTGTCGGAGGTGGTCGTTCCAGGCGCGGGTACATCGGGACCTATAACAGATGCACGAGTACAGAATCACCATTGCCGGGAGGATGCATGCGAATCAGGTGGAAACAATACCGCGAGGTGGAAGTGAACGGACGTAGCAGCATTTATAGGTGGCAGTATTCAGTTGTCAACTTCACTGATGTATGCCGTACTTAACAAGTCGCACCTGTACGAAGCGGTGGTCCATAGGCGCCAGCATCATGAAGGATATCATTAGCTGTGCCGGTCGGTCCAGCTGTGGTGTCGTCGGCAGCTATAACACAGGAACATTAAGGTTGGAAGGACGTGCGTGAAGCAGGTGGAAGTAATAATGCCAGTTTGGAAGCGTCATATGCAGTATGCAGCCCTACGTCAGCTATGAAAAGTCGCACCTGTCTCAAGTGGTGAACCATAAACGCCACCGCCATCAAAGTTATTACCAACGATGTTTCCTTGCAACGTTTCATGCAGCTGCCGTACACCAGCAGCACCGGTACGGTCGTGTAGGAAGGTACTTCGCAGTACACCAGCGACTTCCGGATCGGTAGGACCGATTGTGGAGCGCAGCAGTGCTTCCGGTACTTGTGCAATGCATCCCATACGCTCATACTCCTGTATAGCTTCTTCATCCACTGCACCTTCATCTTCATCGTTATGTTGAAGGAAACGC